ACACAGCCAATTCAAGGCCACTATCTCAAGGGAAGGCGAGGGGGTCAGAGAGAAAAGGGGACAAGAAATGTCTCTTATAGGCACACAGATATCTGAAATATGACTAAAGGAGAGCAAGGTGCAGAGAGACAGCTGCAACCACGGGTGGGCCTTGTGTAAGGGTCACATAAATGATCTCAGACTCAAGACATCCCATCAGTGACATTTACAAGACAGTGTCCACATAAAGACAGCCAGCCTAGAAGCTGAGGCAAGGTAACTCCCTAAGTGACGCCGTGCCCCTCTTTCCCACACAGGTCGTGGGCTGTGACAGGCAGCTGGGAAGTACGGCCAAGGAAGACAACTGCGGAGTCTGTGCAGGGGACGGCTCCACCTGCAGGCTGGTGCGGGGCCAGGCCAAGGTGCACCTGGCTCCGGAGAAAAGTAAGTTTGGAAAGCCAGTTCTGTGTTCCCTTCCTACCAGAACAGGCATTCCTAATGCTGACCTTGTCTGGACGGAATTGACTTCGGCTACTCTTCAGAAGTCAAATTGCTTTCTTTTTAAAAATCATTATTTTTCAATTTTCTGTTTTAAAAGGGCACATAAAATCCATTTCTACCAACTCTTTAAAGGTTCCCCAATTTTTCGAGCTATCGTCATTACAAAATTTTGATGTTTTAAAAATATTTGGTAGTCAATTATTAAATAGCCTAAAATATTTTTTCTGGTAAACTGGGGTCAAATTTTCATTTTATTTGACTTTTTTTGGTTGTTAACGAGACAGAAAATGACGTAATATTTATTTTATTTTTCACTTTTGGTTTTCTAGCGAAGTCATCCATCTGCCTTAGCATTTCTTAACTTTCAATGTTGTAAACTTGGTGTATCAGGAAGGCTAAGCTTTTGTGTGTCACACCTATTTCAAACGTGGTTGTCTGCTTGTTGTGTGGCTTTTATTTTTGCGTGTGTTGAGGAAGCAATGCTTTTGAAGCCGTATTTATTCAGCTGCTTTGTCTTCTCATTTCAGCAGGATTTCTCTTTAATTTTGGGGGTCAAGTGTATGTATTAATGGCCAGCCAGTCAATATTTGCAGCACGCAGCATCTCTGTCCTGGCCACTCAAAACCATTGTCCTATAAAAGCACCCACAAACAAACCAGTGTAGCTATGTGCCAATGGACCTTCATTTAAAATAAATCAGCTGCAGGTTGAAGCTGGCGCTCTGGCAGGACTTGTGACGGTGAAGAAGAGAGAATATCCGTGCAAGTTTTCCCTCACTGCTTCTGTGGTTTTGTTTTCTACCTTTCCATTTTTGAAATGTTTATTTATATTTTATGCATATATGTGCCCGAATGTATGTACGTGTAACACGTGTGTGCCAGAGCCATAGAAGTCAGAGGGAGCATGAGATCCGTTGGAAGTAGGGTTACAAACATTTGTGAGGTGCCATGTGGACCCCGGGAGCTGAACACAGGTCTCCTGCAAGGGCAGCGAGTGATCCTAACCACTGGGCCATTTCTCTAGTGCCCCGTTTTTATTGTTTAGTGTTGTCTATCTTTAAATCTTGTATTCATTTTTGTGTCTGGTTGTTGTATAAAGTTGGGATCTTACTTATTCCTTGGCTAAGGAGGGCGGGAATGGAAGGGGGTGGAAGAGAAAGAGAAAAAGAAGGGGTACAAGAAGCAGGGAGGACAGGAGGGGGGATAGGACAGGAAGCAGGGAGGAAAGGAAGCAGGGGGGACAGGAAGTGGGGGGGAGGAAGCAGGGGGAAGTGAAGTAGGGGGGGACAGGAAGCATGGAGGACAAGAAGCAGGGGGACAGGAAGCAGGGGGGATGGGAAGCAAGGGGGAGGGGGAGCAGGGAGGACAAGAATTAGGGAGGACAGGTGGACAAAATCTTCCAAGAGGAAATATGAATTCCATGTGTGGTATAACACTGGAGAAAAACTTGCCATTTTACTTGTCGGATTTTTCGTGTGTGTGTGTGTGTGTGTGTGTATGTGTGTGTGTGTGTGTGTTTTCGTTTTCGTTTTTGTTTTTGAAACAGGGTCTGGCCATGCAGCCCAGGCTGGCCCTTTGGAAACCTCCTGAGTGCTAGAATTCTAGGCATGCTCCATCACACCAAACAAGCAGGGTGTCATTGTGGTCCTGCTCATCTGCTACTCCAGGCTGAGTGTCCATTGAGAAGTAGATGAGACAGTGGTGTTCAGGAGTCAACCACACAAGCTGTCATCAGCGTGGTTTATATCTTGCGTCAGATGGAGTCATCAAAACAATTTAGACAGTGGAGTGACTTGGGAGAACTCAGATCACCTTCAAGGACAACCTGGAAGCAGGGAGTTTGAATAGGAAAGTCCTTTTAAACCCAAGAACCTTCGTATGAAGGAGTGTGGCAGGAGATGGTGAGGATGCGATGCTTGGAAAGATATTGAGGAGGAGGAATTCCAGGATCAGAGTTTGAAGTTCTTTGAGTAAATGCTACAGTAAGAGACACAGGACAAAGCATCATTTTCATCTCAGGCAGTTTGTTATGTTCACCTGCTCTTCTTCTGAGATTAGGCATCCTTGGAAAGGAGGCATCTATTGAGGGTAAGAGCCCATCTCCCTGGGTTTTCCTTCTCTTGAGAATCTTGGCTCTCTGGATATTCCACCCCTTTGCACCCTTCTGATGTTTTCCAACAGCTGTTGAGTGTGTTTCGTTTGTGGCTGGAGGGTGGTTAGAAACATGCCAGCCCATCATGGGACTCGGTTGTGAATGTCCACCCAAAGAGAGCACGTGGAACATGAAAAAGCCATGGATTGCACCTGGGGAACTCCAACATTTAATCAGAGAAGAGGAATGGGTGGTGTACACAGAACTTAGCAAGAGTCACAGAAGCCACAGGAATGGGTCATCTCAAGGAAGTCTAATGCTCTTGTGAAGACGGCTGGAATCCAGGATTGCCGCCCCTCCCCCATTCTGGCAGTTTGAAGATGATCTGTAGTATTCACTAGAGTGAACTTCAGATACACAAGCTTGACCTCAGTGAGCTGATGAGGGAAGAGAAGATGAGAACGGGTAGAGGGGTTTCCCAAGGGAAGGAGGGGATAAATTCAAGGCACAGCTGGAGAACATGATGGAAAAATGACATGTGTTCCATGCTCTTGGCTCTGATCTGCTCTTCACTAGGTGAAAGAGTTGGTTACTGAGAATAAGGACAGTGAGATGTATGCACTAGGGGGAAAGGAGATGGAACTCACTAATGATAGTAAAAAGATACAGGGATCATGATGAGAGCCCAGTAAGGCTGGGAAGTGTGAATTGATGGAGGTTCCATTCTATGGCCTTCATGAAGTAGGTGACTGACAGCCGGTGTGCCAACAGAAGTGCACATGTTCCAAATCTCATGAAACCCAGGTTAGAAACTGCAGAGGTATATGTGTCCTCTGAGAAGAAGTCTGGACTGGTGGCCAAGGCTGGGCAGCTGCTCTCTCCTGCTCTGTGATGTCTTCTAGGACTCCAGCTCTTCTCTCTCCACATCCTGTGATTATGACTTTGTCTTCATGGCTACAGAATTGAATGGTTAGACATCACATCCACCTCTCAGATAAAGAGAGCTGGTAGTAGAGACTTGCTTTCAATTCTGTGTCCTTTACTCAGAAAGAGAAGTCATCCCTTAGGACTTCTTTGCCACTGACCAGAACTGTAGCATGTGACACTCTTGCTTTTGAAAGGATAGGAACCAGGCACTAAGCATCCCACCCATCATTATCACTGGTACCAAGACAACATAATACTTTAGGATTATCCAAGTTCTCTTCAGATGTATGATGTCATTTCACTAGGTCTCTTACATTCCAGCTTTGAGGTTGTCGAAACCCATTAAAGACAAGGGATGTTAAGAAATGTCTCACAAAATGAATTCTAGAAAATAGGTTAAGGGAGGTTTTTAAGAGAGCTGCTGACTGATGTTTGGGAAGGATCACACAAGAATGGACTGGAGGAGAAAGCAGAAGGGGAGGAAGGACCCAGATCAGGCAGTTCAAAGAGACGGGCTGTGCCGTGAAGGGTTGACTTAGCGCGGCTCCTGGGTGGGGGCGCTAACACAATGGGCGGTTCGGCTCGGTGGGCTGGGAGCACCTAGAGTGGGGGCTGGCCCTTAAAGGTTTGGAAATCCACCAGAGAAGACTCCATTTCTAGCACAGTCCAAAAGAAATTAGACACCAAGGACATTCGAATGGAACCAGAAGCCAGTGGAACTGTGTCCTGAAACCATTTGTCTGGTTGTTATTTTGTAGAAAGTGTGGACAAGCCGGGCGGTGGTGGCGCACGCCTTTAATCCCAGCACTCGGGAGGCAGAGCCAGGTGGATCTCTGTGAGTTCGAGGCCAGCCTGGGCTACCAAGTGAGTTCCAGGAAAAGGCGCAAAGCTACACAGAGAAACCCTGTCTCGAAAAACCAAAAAAAAAAAAAAAAAAGAAAAGAAAGTGTGGACAAAAGGTACTAAAATGGGAAGGGACCTGGAGGGAGTGTGGTGTTAGATGTAGATGCCTGCCTGCCTACGCATCATTCTTTGTACGTGTGTGCAGTGGGTGTACATATTCCTGTGTACCTCCAACTATGTGCACGTGTGTGTGGAGGCCAGAGGATATCATCAAGTGTCTTCCTTGACTGTTTTTAGTGTTTGAGAGGGGGTCTCTCAGTGAACCTGGGTCTCACCAGTTCATCTAGGCTGGCCGGCCAATGGCCCCCAGGATGTGCCTATCTGTATCTCCGAAGTGCTGAGAATACTGGCGTGGGCCACTATGCCCGGTCTGGGTTCTGGGCATCTGAACTAGGGTTCTCATACTTGTGTGGCAAACATTTCACTGACTGAGCCAGCTCCACAGTCCCCATTTTCTCACTGTTGATGAGGTCCTCCCTCTCCTCTCCCCTTCTCTCCCTCTAGGTCTAGATCTCCCTGCCTCTCCCTCCATCCTTTCTTTCCTCTCTCCCTCTTGTCCTCCTTCCTGCCTTTGCTCACTTCTTTCTCTCCCCTCTCCTCTCATCGACCGTCAGCTTTCAGGGTATATATCCTTACAAGAATCTGTTGAAATCGTTTACTGCTTAAGGAGAAACAAAGGTACAAAGTTGGGTGGGTATGAGTGGGTGGGCCTGGGAGGAGTTGGCAGAGGGGTGAATATGATCAAAATATAATGTATGAAATTCCCAAAGAACTAAGGAAAAGTTCTCTTCAAAGTGTTTTCTCTCCAGGAAAATCTGTGTGGACGTATAAGCCCCAAATTTGTCATTCTGGTTTTTCTTTTCTTCTCTGTTTCCTTTTGTTTGTGTATGTGATGTGTGTGTACTTGGACATGTGTGTGCAGGCACAGACACCCACCTGGGTCGGTGTATGCTGAAGCCAGGGGTGGAATTCAAAAGTCCTGCCTCCTCCTCCCCTTCCTTGTTCTCTTGTGACAGGGTCTC